GAGATGTGAGCTGTATCCCCTCCAGCCCCCCAGAAAGGGTAGCAGGGCCTCTGCCGGGACGAGACCCCCCACTCTGAGGGCCAGATGCGAGTTTGTGGGGGTATGGGTTGCTCCGGGATTCGGAGAGGGTCCCTGGGAACCTCCGGGGCCTTTTCTCCAGCACTCTGTGTTCATGCAACCGGTGGCACGTGGGTTTCTGCAGCAACGGGAACGGGGTGAGGACCTGGGGGTGCCCTCCAAGCTTGGGGCGTAGCAGGAGACAGATGCAGGGGTCTCCTGCACTTCCGGCAGGACCCAACGTGAATTCCCTCGCGTCCGAGCTCCAGAAGGGCAGGAAGGGGCGCTGAGCCCCGGCGTCTCTGCCTTTTCACAGACCACACCAGCCGCACGCAGATGAAGGCGGTTAATCGTCTTTATTGGCGGAAAACAGGAAGTCATCCATCTCGTTACCACGGTGATAGAAATCGGGATGTGTACATGATTGTCAAGGCAGAGAATCGTTTGCTACATAGGCCCGGACCCGGCGCCGCAGGGCAGCCCACGGCCGCCGCAGTCCACACATGCACGGGGGAGCGGACAGTTCCCTTTCTTTTGGACGAGCATTTTTTTTTGTTTGTTTTTGTTTTACAGAAAAGTGAAACCGATCACAAGCCTGGTAAGAATAGTCGGGGGTGGGGGCATTCCTGGGTTCGACGGTGGAAGCTTCTGGAAAACATGCTCACTGTTGGGGGCGCTGCAAGGGTGGTGGGTTGGGGTGGGGGGGCGTCAGGGGCCGTGACTCAAGTCAATTTAGAAACGGTTCCGAATGTGTTCTGGACGGAGTGGCCTGTCTTCCAACCCGAGGTGGCCCTTCTCTCCAGAATGACCACTGAGGCTGTCTCTTTGGGGACAGGAAGTCACAGCACTTAAGGCCAGAGCCCCCCCCCCCCTTCGCCCAGAGGAGTGCCTCCAGCAGGGGACACAGCCCCAGGACCCTGCTCCCCAACCCCCAACCCCCAACCCGAGAGATCTCTGAGCTCCTGTCGTGTTTGGGGTGCCCACGGCCCTGCCCATGGCCTATCATGGCTGGCACCACCCACCACACTCCCCTCTGTCCCGTCCCCGGGAAAATAAAGCTCCTTCCCTGTCCCTAAGAAAGGGTCCCTGCAGCCACCTCGAGGGCGGGCACTCCCAGGAAGGCTCCGGAATGAGAATCCTCGTGGGATGAGAAGCGCCCCAGGAAGAAAAGCTACAAAGGGCAGCGCCACCCAGGGTGGGTGCGGGAATTCAGCACCGTCTCCCCCCTGTACAGAGTCAGCGAGAAGCCGTTCCAGGGGGCGTCGTTGGCAAACCCAGGCCCAGGCAGCTGCATGCGGGGGGCGCCGGCCGGCCACCGGGGGTGTAAGCCTGTGGGGTCTGCAGGAGCGCAGACTGAACCCTCCCGGGGCAGGCGGGAGGGAGGGGAGAGCTGGTGTGTGTGTGGGGTGGGGGCGGCCCAGCCTCAGCCAGCATGTGGACGGGCCGTCACAGTGCTGTGTGGGGGCCATGGGGATGTGCCAGGCCTGGCCTGAAGGTACAGGTGGCCGCAGGCCCTTGGGGGCGGCTGTGTCACGCCCGCCTTGACCGCAGATGCCCACTTCTGAGGACCCCGGCTGCCGGGGTCCGTTCTCCCATCTTAAGTCCGGAAAAGTCAAAAAGGACGGGGGACATTTTTGGCCAAAATGTAAAAAATAATTAAAAAGCAGATGCTAGCAGCCCCAAACCTTGGGCCAGAGACCCCCCAAAAGTGGTGGACTACAGACAGGTATGTACATTGTATTTTTTTTTTCTGAGACAAACTGAACAGTGTTTGGTCTGGAATGTGTTTGAGGGAAGGGTCTAGGGGGCAGAGAGAGGGAGAGAGAGAAGGAGCGGGGAGAGGAGAGAAAGAGGGAGAGGGAGCGAGGGAGAGAGAGAGGAGAGAGGATCTGAGGGAGAGAGAAGGAGGAAGAGAGAGGAGGAAGAGAGGCAGAGAGGGGAGAAGGGATGGAAGTAGCATCACTTAGAGAGGACACGCAGGGGTCAGGGCTCGGCCCCCACATCTGCACACCCCTGGCCCTGCCTCTGCCTGAGGGCTGACCCTGACCTGGCCCTCCCGAGCAAGACAGAGGGGTCGCCCCCTGCGCCCCCTCCCTGCTGTCCTCAGCCTTAGCTCTAAAGGGAGCCCCTCCCCCCCATCACCTGAGATATGTGGGAAGGAGAGAGTGCAGGTTCCTGCTGGGAAACTGAGTCTGGGGTCATCATACAAATCCGGGTCACCAGAGGTCTCAGAGTGGCCCCTGGACACGAACTGGGGGCCAGTGTGACAGTCAAGCCATGCTGCTCTCCCCTCCAAGCTCTCCTTCCTTCCTTCCTTCCTTCCTTCCTTCCTTCCTTCCTTCCTTCCTTCCTCCCTCCCTCCCTCCCTCCCTCCCTCCCTTCCCTGCCTGCCTCCTATAGAATTCTTCTCTTCAGAAACCAGACACAGTGGGTCCGGCACCCTTTCTGTTCTCCCAAGGACGGGCCTGGATGCTGAGGACATGGGCTCTGGGGGAGGCACATCCCGCCCCTCTCCGGCCCGCCCCCCCCCCCCACGCCAGACACTGAGAGCAAAGGGCTGCTGGGCAGGGCACACATGTGTCTTAGACGGCAAGACGGCCCCTTCCTGTGCGAGGGGACAGCGTGTCAGACCCTGTCTGAAAACAAGCCGCTCAGTGAGAGAAAACACCGGCCCTCCTGAGAAGGCAGTGGCCCAGTGGGAGGGGCACAGACGAGGGTCCCCAGCAGCGAGCATGACCCTGGGGCCCCATTTGCAGGTTCTTAACAAAAGGCACATCCGGGTTCTCGTCCCATGTGGGAACCAAGTGTCCACGTGGCCGAGGGCAGTCTGTGGGCCGCTCCAGCCCGGCTCCCAGCACAGTGGACAGACCCTCCCGTGGCCTGTTGCCTCTCCCCCTGCACGGAGCATGCTGGCCAGCTCAGCTCCAGAGTGTGGCTAAGTGAAGCCCAGACCCGTCAGGCCACATCCCGGCCATGCATCCACCCACCCACTGTGTCTACTCCCTTCTGCAGACACGTGAACTCTCTGTGTCACGGAGCCTGCCTGCCGCAGCCCAGCTGCCCAGCTACTGCTCACAGGCTAGTGCTCTCCTGCTGGGGCCTAGGCAGCTGCTTGCGCCCATGGGGCTCTGGGGCCCACAGACTTCTGAGGCTTTCCCCAGGCTCTGAGCAGTGACTGCCTGGCTCTGTGACATGGCAGAGACCACGCAGGCGTCCGCCAAGGGACTGTGTGGGCACAGGGCAGGGTAAACCAGTTGTCTGTTCCAGCCGCTCTGTAGTCCTGACTGGTGACCTAAAGGGACCGACCAGCAGGCCTGATGATGTCATGCGTGTGTGCACACGTGCCTGCCCATGTAAATGTATCTGTGTGTTCCTGTGACGCCATGTGTACACATCTGCCTGCCCATGTATCTGTGTGTTCCCGTGTGCCTGTCTGTGGACAAGTGCCTACATTTGTAAATGTATCTATGTTCCCATACACCTGTCTGTACACATGTGCCTGCCTGTGTAAATGTATGTTTTCCTGTGTTCCGGTGTACACACGTGCCTGCATGTGTAAATGGATCTGTGTTCCTGTGTGCAAATGGGCACGTGCCTGGGTGCATGCATGCACTTGGTACCTGCAGGTATATACGTGTTCATGTGTGTGTACGTGTGCCTGTCGGTGTACATATGTGTGTGCACACATGCACATGTCTGTGTGCATGGGTGCCTGTAAGTGCACATATGCATGTGGGATGTATATGCCTGCAATGCACGCACATGCCTGTCTATATGTGTGTGTTGGGGCTGGGATCATCCCTGAACAAAGGCGGGGCGTGGGCAGTGGGGAGGAGGGGCAAGGGCAATTGCCAGTAGGACTGGCTGCTGCAGGAGGCCAGTGGGGCAGCGGGCAGGAAGGCCTCGAGGGCATCAGGCTGCAGAGGGAGCATGAGGCTGACAGTGTCTGTCTGGACTGCAGGAAAGCGTGGGCACCGAGGGAGGGCATGACTGGTCACTCCTCAGAGGCCATCCTGGGAACCTCTTAAAGAGCCACATGGCTGGGTTCCAAGCTGTGCTGATTGTACTGGACCTGTCCACCACATGAGGGGGCCACGGCACGTTTGAGGCTCGGTGACCCCCATCCCTGCCTCAGTCCCTCCGGCCAGGCTGCGGTGGGCAGGTGGCCCTAGGCCTCTGGGTTCTGACACGCTTGCCCAGTCCCTTCCCGCACCGACCCGCCAGGGGCTCATGCCTCCTTCCTGCCCCAGATCAACCGCATCTTTCCCCAAACTGCTCTCCAACCCCCAGAGAGTGCCAGGAAGAGCCCGGCCATGCCTGCAGCAGTCACCAGTGGAGGGAAAGAGGAAGAAGCTATTTGCAGTGGGAGATTAGAAACGGGCGTAGTAGAAAACGGGCTGAAACGGGCTGAACTCTCTAGTGCGCAGCTGAGCTAAGAGAGCAGGCGGGCCTGGGGCTCTGCACGTCATCTGTAAGGTTGGCGGGGGGTGGGGGGGGCATCTCCTTAAACTTCTCAAATGTCGCCTTCAATCTCAGGGAGCTGACAGGGAGTCCCTCATCTCTGCCCACCCAGGCCCCCGCGGAGCGAAGCTGCCTTCAGGGGCGGGGCTGGAGGGGGAGGAGCAGAAACGGGGCCCAGTCCTCAGACTGGCATCGAGAAAAGTGAGACCCCCGAAATCAACACTGAAATGATTCCCCGCGGAGGGAGGAGCGGAAACTGCCGCAGCTTGACCCGAAAACGCCAAGCTTCGAGGTGGGGGAGCCCGGAGGCAGGGCCGGCCCCCTCGGTAGAGGAGACGGCATTCACCCAGACGGAAGGATCCAGTTGAGACCTTTGTTGTCATTAAGGAAAACGAGGAGAACAAGGACAGCATCGACGTGACCTCGGCGGAGGAGAGACGCCAGGGCTGGGGGCGGGCACCGGCTCCCCGAGGCAGGTCAGTGTGAGAAATGGACACCAGAGTCGCAGTATAAAATATGGCCATAAAAAACGTCTTCCAGTCCGGGCAGGCGGGCGCCATGCAGGTGGGGGCGCTCCAGGCGGCGGGCCGCTCCCAGAGCCGGTCACTTGCCCCCAGAGTGCGCTGTGGTCACAGTGGTGGGCCGGGGTCTCCGCTCCGCTGCCACTCCAGAGACCCCCGTCGAGGAGGAGATGAAGTTACAGAGCGTGGACGGGGCCAGGCCTGCAGAGGAGAGGGGACCCGGGAGGTCAGGAAGGGACCCAGCCCCGGGGACACACGCGCGTCCTCTCTGCCCGCTCTGAGTTCCCAGTCTCCCAACCGCCCGTGAGAGGCATTTGCTCCCACCCGCGGTCCCCAGGGATGCCTCAAGAGTCGCTCGTGAGGTGGTGAGGGCTCCCGGCAGCACTGCGGGATGAACTGCTCAGGGCTGGGAGGATGCTGGAGCCCTAGATCACCTGCGTCTGGTTCTGCTCACCAGCCCCAGAGATGCCCGGGTGCCCGGACATAAGATGTCACTAGAACAAAGTTCTGTGACAGCCGTGTGGTGTTGGGGTTCTGAGAGTGGATTGGGGTGTTTGCTCCCTTGGGCCCTTTCAGACATGCTGTTTCTACTTTTTTCTTTTGGGGTCACTCCTGGCAACGTTCAGGGCTTACTCCTGGCTCTGCACTCTGGAATCACTCCTGGCAGTACTCAGAGGACCACATGGGGTGTGGGGAATTGAACCAAGAGAATAAGAGTCCACAGCAGAGGGGGACCGCAGGGGGAAGGGCTCGGGGAGACTGCAGGGATGAACTGACCATATTTCTCTGCATAACTGTCAACTAAGACCAGCACTGTGTGTATATATATATATATATATATATATATATATATATATATATGTGTGTGTGTGTGTGTGTAATTTTGGGGGTCACACCCTACAGTGTTCAGGGCCTACTCCTAGCTTTGCATTCAGGAATTACTCCTGGCAGTGTTTGAGGGACCAAATGGGATGCCAGGAAGTGAACCCAGGTTGGCTGCATGCAAGGCAAGCACCCTACCTGCTGTTCTATCATTCCAGCCCCTAACCAGCACAATTAAAAAAATATTGCACATAATAATCGCACCCCAGTTTTTCTTTTTCAAAAAAAAACCAATATTGGCATAAAATCTGCGATGTTCTGCAGTGAATGTGTTCAGGTCAGGACATTCCTGAGAGCCAGAAGGAGGCATCCCGGAGCCTGGAGGCATCTCTGAGGGACATGAACGCCCCAGGGAGCTCAGGGCGGAGACCTGGGGACAGCCCGCGGTGAGGGCCACATACCTGACGGGGTGGACTGGGGCACAGACTGTGGGGGAGCATGTGAGCTGGGGGAGGCTAGAATCAGAATCCCAGTGAGATGGAACCAAACACTCCCCAGAACCATCCTTCTGAGACAACACGGAGCAAAGCCAGGGAGATGGGCTTGCTCGGGTCAGCTGCAGACAAGAGCCCCCAGACGAGAGCCGGAGGGGCAGGGTGGGGGCCGACTGACCCCTCCTCCAGCCACCCACAGTACCCGGGGCTGCTGACCACCACGAAATGCTCCGTTCTGAGAAAATCCTGCCAAGACAAAAAGTCTCAGGACAGGGAGCACCGGTGAACTCAGAGACGGTAGGAAAAGACCCTGGGCCCTGGCCCCGCCCTGGCCCTGCTGTCCCCAGCTTCTCCAGAAAGTTCTGGGCCGGCGCTGTACGCACAGTCCTTCTGGCTGGCCAGGCTGAGGCTGCCCGAGACGCCGGCGCTGGTGCTGTCCAGGCTGCTGCCCAGGTGAAGCTTCCGCATGTGCCTTACCACCGCCGTGGCGTTGAATGCTTGCTGCAACAGAAGGTTCCGGGTGTTAGCACGTGCGAGCTCCTTCCAACCTGCACCCAACATGCTCTGGCAGAACCTCCACCCTGCACCCAGATCCACTGCCGTGCCAACTCATTCTGGGGATGGGACCCCCCACCCCGGGCCTCACTACCCCCACTCTCTTCTCAAGGCATCTCATGGATCCAACCTCCTCCTCAAGACACAATGTAGAGATTGAACACACACACACACACACACACTCTGAATACACACATACACTGAGTACACACACATTAAATACACACACACACACACTGAGTACACACACACTGAATATACACACACACTGAATACACATGCACACACACTGAATATACACTCACACACACTGAATACACACACTGAATACATACACAGACAGACACTAAATACACACACACACTGAATACACACACACATATATATTTTGCCTTTTGACATAATCTATCGCGTGAAAGTGACTTATTGTCTCCTAGCTGAAGAGTGACTGAGTCCTCAGGTAAAATACACAGGGAATGAGAGCACCTTAAAGCTGTCATTTCCCAGGGCTGGAGACATAGTACAGGGGTGAAGGTACCTGCCTTGCACTCGGCTGACCCTGGTTCGGGCTTCTCTGACACTGCTCTGACCCCGACCACTGCCAGAGTCACTCTGAGTGCAGAGCCAGGAACAGCCTCTGAGCACCTCCGAGGGCAGCTCAAACTCCACCCCCCCACCAATAAAAGACAGTTGTCATTTCCCAAGTATTGTCATGTTTATCCTAAATGGGTTAGGTTCTTTCTCTCGTTCCAGGTGTCCCCTATCACCTCTCCTCCAGACCAGTCAACTCTCCGGAACCCAGGCGGATTAGAAATGAGGCGAGTTGATTAGAAATGGGGCTTCGGCCTATCTCATTGATCCCGGAATAGGACTTAGGGTTCAGTCTGTTTCCTTGGGGCCAGGACACATCAAGGATTAGACTCGGGTGTCCTACTGTTTCCCTGTGACCCCCATGAATCAAAGCCAGCCCACTCACAGTCAGCGGAGAGAGTTGGGGGTCACGTGCCCACAAGACAGAAGGGCTAAGTGTGCTGTGATTGTTTCTGAGCCCCTGAGACTCTCACAGTCAATCCACAAGCCTTCAAGTCTTCATCAGGATTGGTCAAATGAGCCAAGGGTGTGTGGGAGACCATAGGGGGGCTCTCTGAAGTTAGAGGGGCAAGGGGTCCCCATGAAGCCCACAGTGGTCTTACTTACTCTCCACTTGCTTTTGGCGAAGTTCTTCCGGATCTGTGCGCTGACAGACTCGTGGATGTTTTTATTGAGAGCCGTGTCACCAGCGATCCTGAAACCAAAGCAGAGGTGTGTCTTCAAGGAGAAGGGGGACACCAGTGCCCTCTGGCCATGTGGCTCTGTTCTCATTCACACACATCCCGTGGCTGGCCACGTGGCTCTGTGCTGATATACACCCCCGTGGCTGGCCACATGAGTGTGTTCTGATGCATACACACCCCATGGCTGGCCTTGTAACTCTGTCCTGATGCACACATGTCCCGTGGTCCCCAATTCTGTCCCCCTCCCAACCCTGCACCCTTTCCCCCAGTCCTCCTCCCTTCCTGACTCTGGTTTCTTCTCTCTTTCACCCCAATTCCTGCAACTGTAGGACCCAACAGACAAGGCATTGTGAGCTCAGTCACCCCCGCCCCAACCACACCAGTGGCACTCCACGCATAACCTCTGACATCTCGCCTTGTTCCCACCTGAGACCCCTGATCTATTCCCAGAGCATCTTCCTGTGACCCTGTGATCCTTGTTCAGACTTCAGTGCCTGGACCCAGCCAGCTACAGCTCCTGTCTGGGCCAGCTCTGCTGGACAGAGCTCCATCTCCCCGCCTCCCCCTTCCTCTTCCTTCCTCTCTTTTTCTCTCTGTCTCTGGGATGAGACGAATTCTGATAGATCACCTTTTCTTTCTGCTTTTCTACAAAAGTCCTCAGGAAGACAGGGGCCACGTCCCCTGTGTCTCCTGGGCCCTGAGGGGCCACCTTTGACATTTTAGGCCTCAATAGCTGCTGAGCTTTCTGCTCTGGGCAGGGAGGTGGGCAGGGTAACTTCCCTGTCTCTGGCTCGTTTCCTCTCTCCTTACCATCTCAGGCCACGGCAATGACTTCCTGACTTCAGGCGGTCACTCAGAACTCATTCTCTCCACAGCCTGCTCACCCCACACCATCCTCCCTCTACGCCTCCTGCCCTGCCCCCTCAGTTATTTATTACATCAACCTGGTGGACCAGGTTGCAGTGGTTGCTCCCGACAGTGCCAAGGGGTTCCTGCATGCCAAGCTCATGCTCTGGTCTTTCGAGTCATCCTTCCTCCCTTCCTTCTTCCCATTTTGTTTGTTTGATTGTTTGTGAGCCACACCTGGTGGCACTCAGGGCTTATGCCTGGCTCTACACTCAGGAATTACTCCTGGTGGTGCTCAGGGAACCATATGAGGTGGTAACGGGGATCAAACCTGGGTTGGCTGCAAACAAGGCAAACACTGTCCTATCTCTCCAGCCCCATTTCTTCCCATCTTAAAGATCAGAAAATTGAGGCTCAGAGAACCCAAGGTTAAACCCAAGGTCGTGGGAAAGCAGGCTCAGGCCCAGGGATGTGCCATGTTAACTTGAGGTGGCCTTACGAGCTCAGCTGGCTCTGAAGGCCAGAGACCCCCCAACAGCCCCTCCCCACTCTGCAGCGGGAGAGACTCTGCCTAGAGCAGCATCCTCAGGGGGGAGGAGAGACCTTCCCAATCACCAAGGCAGCCAGCTCCATCTCAGTGCCTTCTGGGAAATGGCCTGCAATAAAACCCCGAGTCTTTTCTGCTGCATGGAAACACTTGCCCTCCTGGTTCTGGGGGGCTTCCCCAGCTGGCAGGGAAGAGCTGAAGGTCTCGCTGGGGCCGCCCTGGCCACGGCCCTGTCCCGCTCCCAGTGGGAGGACCGACAGGGGTGAAGGGTTCCTCTGCGGGAAGGCCTGGCCCCTGCGCTCTTTCTGGGCCCTTTTCTTACCAGGGGTGCCGAGCCGCCTGCTCACACGTGTATCTTTTATTGGGGTCTTTCTCCATCAGGTTCCGGATAAAGTCTTTGGCTGTTCAGGGAGAGAGTGTGAGGGAGAGGGTCAGTGTATGGCTGAGAGGGGACATGGTGACACTCGGGGCCTATGGGAGGTTCCCGAGTCCCCGGCAGATGGTGCCAACATGGAGGGAAGGGCTGGCCAAGGCACTTGATGTGGTGACCTGCTGGGCACTCAGTCCCAGCCCCTGGCACCTAGTGGCACCCGTCCCAGGGAGGACATCTTTTGTAGTCCCCTGTCTCTCATAACTCCTGGGGGAAAGAGAAGAGAGCCATTTAGGACACATGCTGTGCATGTGTGTTATGTGTGTATGCATGTGAGTGTGTGTATGCGTGTCAGTAAGTATGTGTGTGTGTGTTTGTGAGTGTGTGTATATGTGTTTGTGAGTGCGCATATGTGTGCATGTGTGTGAATGTGGTGTGTGTTTGTGCATGTGTGTTTGTGTGTGTGCGTTTGTGTATGTGTACGTGTGAATGTGTGCATGTGTGTGTGTGCATGTGCGTGTGAGGGTGTATTTGTGTGTGTGTGTATGTGTGTGTGGTGGTGCAGCTCCTAGAACACTCCCTGCCCCGGGCCTGGCATTGTGGCTGTTTGGCCCTGAGAAGCTACCTGCAGCCAGACAACCTGTTACAGAGAGAAAGTCCCTGCCTGAGCCCAGGCGTGGAGGCCCAGGGCGTGTCTGGCCCAGCAGCCGGGCAGGGGGTCACTGGGGAAGGGAGGGTGTGGGTCAGAGACGGAGAGTGAATGTCCTGGTGGCATCTCTGAGGGCCCAGCTGAGTTCACTGCCCGCAGGATGAGGGTGTGGGGAGGCTCAGAAATAAATCACTCCCTGGGCCGACAGGACAGCAGGGAGGGCATTTGCCTTGCACATGGCTGACCCAGGTTCAATCCCTGGCATCCCATATAATCCCCCGAAGCACTGCCAGGAGTGATGCCTGAGTGCAGAGCCAGGAGTAACCCCTGAACATCACTGAGTGTGACCCAAAAAAGCAAAAAAATAAAGGAAAGAAAAAAAAAGAAAAATTCCCAGGCCTCAGCAAACCCAGCTCCAGTCCAGGCTTGGGAAGACAAAAGCTGAGGTTCCAGTGAGGAGGCACAGATATGAGAAAAAAAGGAGCCACAACTCCTGCCCTCTGCAGTCTGCAGAGGCTGGGCGTCCCCCCGCCTGCCACCCAACCCTGCACTCCTGGGGAGGCTGTACTAGGCCCAGCTCACTGCAGCTGGAGCCTCAGGCCTGGGCTTTACCCCAGGCCGAAAGTCGGGCCTCCTCCTGGGACATTCCTGTGGCGGGGACTGGATGTAGAAGCAGTGGGAACCCAGGTTCCTGTCCCAGCTCTGTCGCTTCCTCCCTCTGAGCTGCAGGACAAGCTACTTCCCCTCTGGGTCTTTCTCCCCAGGCGCAGGTGTGGAGAGCCCAGAGCCCAGGGACTCCACCCCCCAACAATAGCCCCCAACACCCTGGCCAGGAGTGCTGGAGGCTGTGCCCTGCTGACCCTTGCTCAGATGCCTGAAGCCTGCCGTCCACCCTGCTGGCCACAACCCAGCTCAGGATGTTTTCTTGGACTGTCGGCCTTGGGGCGCTTGCATCCAGGGGTGTCAGGGGCCCCTGGGGCCACCCCAGGTGCAGGCGCATGACCTACCGGAGTCAGAGATGTCGTCCCAGTAGGGAGAATCAAACTCATATTCAGCCTTGAGGATCTGTTCAAAGAGCTTCGAGTCATTTTCATCGTAAAAGGGGGGGTAGCCGCAGAGCCTGTGGGGAGATGAGAGGGTGGGGCTGGGGGGAAGGCCGACCGAGACAGGCCGCCCTCGGGAAGAGGGAGGCCCCTGGTCACCTCCACTGCCCCTGGCCTGCTGCCCCTCATGGCCACTGCACAGTGATGGGAACAGCCGAGGGCAGCTTGAGCGACCTGAGACCTTGCCTGGGTCTCTGAGACGCTAACCCATCCCCTCACATGCCTGATTTGAGGGCTAAGCACCGGGACACTTTCTCTTTTGGGAAGGTTGATTTTGGGGGCTGGGGGGGGGGAGTCCCTTCCTGCAGTGCTCAGGGACCAGGATGTGCCAGGGTCCAAACCCAGGATCCCAGCCCAGGAAGTCTGCTCTCAGCCGGGGAGCAACTTCCCTGGCATTTATAATTTTTAATTTTAAAATGAATTTGAGTGGTTTTTAAAATATTGAATGTAATGTGATCATAATCTTCTTAGTTTTTTTTTTTTAATTATATTATCCCTAAAGAAAGGGCTGGAGCGATAGCACAGCAGGTAGGGCATTTGCCTTGCACGTGGCCGACCCGGGTTTGATTCTTCTCTCCCTCTCGGAGAGCCCGGCAAGCTACCGAGAGTATCCTGCCCGCACAGCAGAGCCTGGCAAGCTCCCCGTAGTGGATTCGATATGCCAAAAACAGTAACAACAAAGTCTCACAATGGAGACGTTTCTGGTGCCTACTCGAGCAAATCGATGAACAATGGGAGGACAGTACTACAGAGCTACAAGTGCTAATTTTAAAATTGTTTAAAAGAACTAAAAAATTAATTAGTTATTTTTAGGGGTTGTTTGTTTCGGGCCCACACCTGGTGATACTCAGGAATTACTCCTGGTGGTGCTCAGGGGGCCATATGGGATGTGGGGAATTGAACCACAGACCTGGGGCCAAGGGCAGCGCCCTCCCTGCTGTACCAAAGCTCTGGTCCTTCCCTCTTAGTACTTGGCTAGTTTGGGTGAAGTGGCTCTCCCTGAGCACGCCTGGGCGGGGCTGTAGAAGTTTCCCCTTGGGCAGGTGGAAATGAGACCAGAGTGGACCAGAGCACCAGCAGCCTTGGGAAAGGGCTGTCAGTGGCCCCCGTCAGCGGCCTGGGGACTGGCCCTCCCCTCTCAGCCCAGCTCTCGACAGCGGAAACATCTCCAAGGCCACTCCGGGAAAGACGCCTTTTTCTCCTGCCAAGGCTCCTCTTGTCGACCCCAAGTTCCTCCAGTGTTGGCCCCCCACCCCCACGGACGGATGTGGGGAGACAGAACAGACTTTCTGAGCTGTCCTGCGGGCCTCGAGGGAAGGATAGGTTTGTCTGGAGCTTCCGAGTGCGTGACTGTGGGAACGAACCCCGGGCTCGATCTCTGCGGCATGGCCCCTGAGCACCCAGAGGACCGGCTGACAAGAGGCAGGACAGAGCCAGGGGGAGAAAGGGCACTCAGCACCCCCTGAGGACCTTCTCAAGAGAGCAAATGGAAAGGCCGCGCCCGGCATCCTGGCATTCTCTGCAGGGACAGGGGTCTGGGGAACACTGCGCTCAGGGGCTGAGAAGTTGGCAACAAGGGTCGAAGGTCAGCGGGGACCGTGCCTGGGCTCTGCCTGTTGGGGGCTGTTGTTCCCGTGTGTTTCTTTTACACACCAACCACCCCCCACCCCCCGACCCCCCACCATTTCCCTCTGTTCCAGTCCTTCAGGGATTGGGACCCAGTACCCCACGTCGCGCTGGCCTGCAGGGGGCGCTGGGACCACCACCTCCAGCCTCCCCACCAGGTGGTGGCCGGTGGCTCCTCCTGCTTTGGGGTGCCACTCAGCCCCCTGTACCTTAGGCAGCACTGAGTGCGGCCCCTCCCCACTGCTCCGAGCTCAGCTGGGGCACCCGGCGTGTCCCATTGAGCTTTGAGGTTCCTCTAGTGAGAGACGGCCGAGGGGGCCTGAGGGGACACAGCCAGGGATCCTGCGTTCCCAAATAGTCTGAGACAGTGGGGCCAGTCCCCCACGCCCTGCCTCCCCACCCCCGGCACTGCTCCCGGCCCTTAACTTGTGTGCAGCCCATCTAGGGTGAGTGGGCTGTCATCTCTGGGGGCCAGCACCTCCAAGCCCTCAGCCGGGTGCTCCAGCCCTAGCACAGCTAAGAGAGAGAGAGAGAATCTCGGGGGGCTGGGGCAACAGAACCGTGTGGAGGGTGTTTGCCTTACACGGAGCCAGGTCGGGGCTTGATCCCCGAGCCCCACCAGGAGTGAGCCCTGAGCACAGAGCCAGGAGTGAGCCCTGAGCCACTGCCAGGGGTGGTCCCCAAACAAAGAACAAAAACAAAACAAGCAAGCAGGCAGGAGTGTTCCGCACCCGAGCCTGGGCATCTGCGGGGTCTCTCTGGGTCACCTGTGGTCAGCGCTGCCCGCTGTTTGCTTCTGTGAGGCTGTGGGTCTCCCACAGGGAGGGGCTGCAGGGTGGACGCACCCCCCCCCCCCCCTTCCCCGCCAACACACACACACTGAGTCGAGGCCTCTCACTCCCGGTAACCAGACAGACTTAATATCTTAAGAGCAATAAGACAAAGCAAACTTCCGCAGCCAACAGACGTCCTGCTGGCCGGACCTCTGAGTGCTCCCAGCCAGTTTCTGCGTGTTACTGGCATCTGTGAACGGCCAAGGAGAACTGAATGACGACAGGCTTGGCACCTCGTGATCTCCGCAGCCCTCTGGGTCAGGCTGCCAGGACGTTCTTGCAAGCTCAGCAGAGATCCGCCGAGCAGCCGGGAATGCATTGGATATCAAAGCAGGGGCGGGCTGGCAAGTAAAAGGCCAGGGACAATGGTGCCCTATGTCTGGACAACCGTCCCCAAGGTCTGGATGCTGCCCAGGGACACAGAGGACCCGGGAGCAGATCTGGGAAGGACTTGGAGAAGGGAAAGGACACTGGTGGTGGGAGGGGCGAAGACAAATGTGTTTCTTAAAAAATCTCCACATGGCGGGTGCAAAACAGGGGCTCGGGGAATCGGGGGAGGGGGCAGGGGGAGTGAAAATGTACCCCTGGCTGGGGGCGTTGCTCAGAGATCGAGGGGGGTGCAAGTCTGATCCCTGACAGGGTCCCGGGTCTGCTCCCGGCATGGCACGGCCCCTGGAACAGCAACATTCAAATAGAAAAGGTACCATCATGCATGTGCCTGACGTCCAACAGCCTCCCGGCCCGAGGAGAGCAGAGAGCCCACACGCAACACCCTTCACACCAGCGACAACCATTAGTGTTTTGTCTTGTTTTGTTCTTGGCCACACTCAGCGGTGCTCGGGTGGTTACTCCTGGCTCTGTGCTCAGGGATTACCCCTGATGAGCTCAGGAGACCATATGGGATGCCGGAGACCAAATGCAGATCGGCCGCGTGCAAGTGCCCTACCTGCCATGTTCTCTCTCCGGCTCCAGTGGCCAGTCTGAGTGTCTGCCGAGTGGTGGTCATATTGGAAGCTTGGGACGCCACCCGGGAATGTGAAGAGGCAGCATGAAAGGTGCTTGGAAACAGCAGGATCCCACCTTGGACATATCCGTGGAAGCAACTGGTCTCCCTGACCCAGACAGGCAGCACTGACCCACGTGGCCACGGCAAGAAGGTGGGAGAGGAAGCACCATCCAGCCACATGATGGGATGTGCATCGGCCCAAGAGAAATGTGATTGCTGCACTTGGAACCACACACAAGTCACTGAGCACCAGGGGGGCAGAACGCTCAGAGCCACAGGCCTCAGCCCACGGGAGGGACTCATCACTCACAGTCAAGGGCCTCAGCCCACGGGAGGGACTCAGTGCTCAGAGCCACAGGCTTCAGCCCATGGGAGGGACTCAGCGCCCAGAGTCACGGGCCTCAGCCCACGGGAGGGACTCAGCGCCCACAGCCACGGGCCTCAGCCCATAGGAAAGTGGCATGTGGGAGCAGAGAGATCAGAACAAAGGAACAGAGCATGGGTCTGGGAGAAGCTGCCAGTTAGAAATGACAATGACAGACATCTGGCTGGTGGCAGTGGCTGGGTCACACTGGGGGTGTTGGTCCCCGGTCAATACCCTGCCCTGCTCATCCAGTACCCTGCCCTGGGAACCTCCCTGCATGGTACCCTGACTCCAGGGGGAGGGGTCAGGAGTGTGACGTGGGTTCCGTAACGAGAGCTTTGTGGAAAGGTGCGGCCCACGAAGCGAGTGGCTCAGGAACTTACAGGATGTAGGCGATCACCCCGATGGACCAGCAGTCCACAGCCTTGCTGTAGGGCTTCTGGGCAAGGACCTCGGGAGCTGTGAAAGGATAGAGAGACACGGGGGTGACACATCAGTGCTGGGGACACATGGGCCTCAGGTCTTCCTACTTCTTGCTGTGACTCAGGCTCAATGCAGGCTTCAAAGGGCGAAGGCAGAAGCTTGTTTGATTGGTTTGGAGTTGCCCTAAGCAGGAGAAAGTGTGCGTGCATGTGTTTACATGTGTTGTGCATGTGTGTGTGTGCATATGCGTGTGCATGTGCATGTGTGTGCGTGTATGCATGTATGTGTGTGCACATGTGTGTGTGGATACCAATGGAATCCAGTCGATCCACCTATAGACACTAGCAAGTAAATTGTACTCAGGAGTTCAGAACTGTCGAATCTCCATTTCTTTGGATTTGGGGTGTGACTCCACCTCCACCCCATTTCAGGAAGCACGTCTGGGCCTTGTGGAGTGTGTGGGAAGCTGTCCCTCAGCTTCCCTTGATCCCTGGGTGAGCAGTGGTCATACCTAACTCTAAACCCCGACTCTGAGGTCCCGCCTGGGCCTGCTTTAAGGCGCGTGTGGGGGGCGGAGAGAGGTGGGATAGTGACCCATCCTTCTGGTCTCCCCTTTCCTCCACTCCTGGTCCATCCACTCCCGAGTATCAGTCCTTCCTCGGGACAGGGGCCCCTTTCCTCCCACATGGCTCCTGGCATGGGACCCCTCCCCTGTCCCCCACAGGGGGCTCCCAGGCGTCGCCACACACATCTGTGCCGAATGCACACAGCCAGGAGACCGTCGATGACACACGGCAAGGCTGGGCCGGTGTTTATGCCACATGGAGCAAAGCTGTTCTTGCAGTCGCAGACGACACACGTAATTTTAAAACTATGAGCTTTTTCTGCTTACATAAACTGTATAACATTAATTATGTGGCTTGACATTTTTTTTTTCTGGTTTGGCTCAGTAGCGAGGATGTTCGCTGGAAATAGCAGAGAAGGGATTCCAGGGCGTCCACACGGGGTTGCAAATCGAAGAGCTTCTGCCCAACGTTTCTGGTTTCCTCCGCAGATGGTCTGGTCTGCGTCCGAGTGGCAGCCTGGGAATCTCGGGGTCCTCTAACCGAGACTGGAGGCCCGGCCCCTCACTGTGCTCAGAACCCAGAGACCAGAGCAACCTAACCTGGGGGTGCTGTCTTCACCCACGGGGAGACCGAATGACATATGCCAGAGGTTGGGGTTAACGCCAGGTTTTGGGGTTAATGCTTGTTTTGCTTAGTTTCTGGGATCAAATGCTCTTCTGGGCATGATTTGGACATGACCAACTACGCCATTTAAAATAGCTGCTTAAAGGAGTTCCAGGAGGTTTGCTCCATGGCTTGGAGGCCAGTCACATACGCTGGGGGGGAAAGGCAGCTCAGATAGAGAAGGGAGCACCGAATAAAGGGTGTTGGGAGGATCCTCCCAGGATGGGAGATGCGTGCTGAGAGTAGACTCTAGACCGAACATGACTGCCACACAATGCCTCTTTTGCAAACCACAGCACCCAAAAGGAGAGAAAGAACAAGGGGGAATGCCCTGCCTCATAGGCAGGGTGGGATGGGGGGGAACGGGGGATGGGATGGATACTGGGATCAGAGGTGGTGGAGAATGGGCACTGGTGGAGGGATGGGTATTTGATCATTATAGAACAAAAACCCAAGTACAAAAATTTGTAACTCTACAACTGTACCTCAGGGTGTTTCACTAATAAAAATCTAAATTAAAAAACTGCGCGTGGCCACCAGGGGGCACAGCCCTGCAAGGAGAGGGGAGGGGAGGTCTGCCGGGTCCCTGGTCGGGGCTGTTTCCGGTGCCCTTCAGTCACAGAGCACTAGCGTCTGTCCTGCTCCGAGCTCCGGAGACCGTTTGGAGAAGTGGCCTGAGCCCTGTGGCCTCATGCTGCTTGGTAGGAAGGACCCAGTGATTCGAAGGCGGCCACGTTCAGAATCACACAAGACAAATGAGCTCCCAGGCCCAAGAGACCCAGGGCGCAGTCTCTCAGGGCCATGGGGCGTGACAGGGGGGTCTCAAAGCTGTGCCTCAGAATTCCTGCCCCCTCCAACCCTTCCGGGAGATGCTCAGGCACTTCAGGATCCCGAAGAAGTAAGTTCCCCTCGTAACGGTCTACAGCCCAGGGCGTGTGAGGTGGAGGCTGGCAGGGTCTTCACCCGCAGCCTCTTAAAGGGTCCTGGCCAAGAGCAGTCACAGAGGGCTTTCTGGCTGGGCTGCCACCAGGCAGAGCAGGAAAAGGCTCCATGCCACAGCCCAGAGAGCCCTTATTCCTGACACAGTCCCGGGGCTTGCCCCAGCCCTGGGGAGCAGTGGACACACCCCCCCTCCCGAGGGCTGACTGGCACATGCAAGGTGGCAGGGGCCGCCCACTGCTCTTCCTGTGGACGTGGGAAAAGCCCATTCTGTAGAGGTGCAGAGAGCAGGGCGGAGGCGGGCCCCCATGTGGGGGTGACCTGGGGCAGGAAGGCTGGGTTCCCCCTCCACTGCAGGTGTCAGGGCCACACAGCAGCTACTCCATGGCTGGAGGGCAGGCCCAGTGTCTGGTCCTTGTATCTGCCCAAGGGCTGGTCAGTGAACCTTCCCTCGAACCTTCTACTGGACCGTCCTCTAGGGGAGATGGCTCCAGACTCCCATGGCAGCTCTGCAGAGCTCAGCTGTCACTGAGAGCTTCGGGGAGCAGGCACAGTCTCTCTCTCTCTCTCTCTCTCTCTCTCTCTCTCTCTCTCTCTCTCTCTCTCTCACACACACACACACACACACACACATACACACACACATACAGACTAAGGGGAAGGCAGCAAAGCCTTTGGAAGCTCACCCTGTGCGCCCCAGGGAAGAGCTTCCCTATGGTCAGAAGGCATCACTGCATTTGGGTTTTGTTTGTTTGGATATGTTGGCCACACCCAGTGATGCTCAGGGGTCACTCTTAGTTCTGCGCTCAGGAATCATTCCTTGCGGTGTTCGGGGGACCCTATAGGGCGCTGAGTCAAAGATATCCTCCAAACCGCTATGCACCCTGTTGATCCCGGGCAGTCTCAGGGGCTGCTGGAGATTTGGGGGGGGGGGGGCAGGGAGAAGTATCTCACGCTCCTGGAACATGAGCTTAGACATCTAGCTAAGTGGGTGGCTGCCAGGAGAGTGGCCACAGGCCCTCTGTGGAGAGACTCTTCCACACACGAATAGGGCTGGACGTGGATTTAGAGCAAGATCCCTGGGAACAGGCCGCCCTCCAGAAGGTGCTAAAAGAAACAGCTCCAGGGCTGGAGTGATAGCACAGCCGGTAGGGCGGTTGCCTTGCACACGGCTGACCCGGGTTCAATTCCCAGCATCCCATAGGGTCCCCCGAGCACTACCAGGGGAAATTCCTGAGCGCAGAGCCAGGAGTAATGTCTGTGCATCGCCAGGTGTGACCCAAAAAGCAAATAAATAAATACATAAATAAATAAACAGCTCTGGAAACCTTTCACCCCGCCTCAGAATGCAGCAGGCAGTGCCTTCGTCCACCCCCCACTAAAACGCTGGGACAAGAGCAGGGGAAAGTGGTGGGGTGTCACCCTCCCTAGGTCCCCATCATGTGGGCAAAGCATTTTCCCTTTCCCAGGAAGGGCAGTTCCCACCCAGAGTGGTGGGAGGGTTTGGCAGGGTGGGGATGTGGGGGGGGGGGGGGGCGGAACGACTCTGAGGTTAAGATTCTGACACAGGGTCTGAGGGATGCGCCCTCCACATAGAGCGGGTCCCCTCGCCTGTGGGTTACAGGAGTGACAGATGCTCTTTCTTGCCTCCCCTTGGAGGTGCGGTGTCCCCCCCCCCCGCCCGACACAGAGCTAAAGAGAGCTCACCCACTTAGCACACGCACGAAAGGTCCCCGCGGAGGTGTATCACGGCCAGTGACCCTGCAGCTGGGACCCCCGTTCCAATGTTCCAATGCCCACCCACCCACCCACCCCTGCCTTAGGGATACAGATGGGCTGGGCAGGGGAGTGGAACCAGAGGGCAGCTGCCCCGAGAAGTGTGGGAGCGGCTGGAATTCAGGGGGCAGGAAGGAGGGCAGGGAGAGAAAGCAAAGGACACAGGGACTATGCTCCAAACCACGCCATTTCTTCCTCTCCCCACAAAGAAACGGAGACGATCCATCCCAGGCAGGTGCTGAGAGACCCACGGGGACATTCCACAGGCTGACAAGTGCTCTCTGGCCAGAGCCAGGAGCCATGTGGTCAGTAGCCAGCAGCCACTCCTAGGGCCGGCCTCACCGCCCAGCGCTGGCTCGGGCACCTGTGGAGATGCCCGCGGAGAGGAGAAGAGACATCTCTGGGGTCGCCCAGTCCTGATTCCACAGCAGCTGCGTGAGCTCCAGGGCATGTGAGGCAGCCAATAGCCCAGGGAGGTGGGGTTGAGAGGGCTGTGGGGAGGTGGCAGGCCAGGCTGTGTGGGGAGCTCTGACGGAGCCCAGGGACACTGGGGGCTGAGGTCCAGGAAGGGTGGGTTTTTATATCCTTAGGGGAGACATATGGGCTGGAGCGATAGCACAGCGGGTAGGGTGTTTGCCTTGCATGCGGCTGATATGGCCGACCTGGGTTCGATTCCTCCACCCCTCTTGGAGAGCCTGGCAAGCTACTGAGAGTATCTCGCCTGCACAGCAAAAGCCTGGCAAGCTCCCCGTGACGTATTCGATATGCCAGACACAGTAACAACAAGTCTCACAATGTTACTGGGCCCGCTTGAGTAAATCGATGAACAAGGGGAGGACAGGGGAGACGCAGACGCCCCACCCTAGAAACATCACAGGGGAGCCCAGGACTGTCTCAAAGGGACCCAGCTCACCCCCACATCCAGCTCCCTGAAGGGACCCAGCTCACCTACGCGTTCAACTGAGACCCTAAGAGCCTCAGTGAAGTGCTGGGGCTGCGTGTTTAGATCTCAGCCTGGCCCCACCCAGGGCCCCTAGGGCAGCTGCCACCAAATGTGGGCTCAGTCCCTACAAGCCGGGAGGACCCCGGGTTTCCAAGGCTCATCCTGACCTCGGACCCCACAGCGAGCCCTCACACTGCCCCACTGAACGAAACACATTCCTCTGCCGGCAGGGATAAGTCGAGAATGCAGCCAGCTGGTCTCCGTTTCCATTCTGACAGAACACGGTGAAACGCGCTGAAACTCAGGAAAGTAAAGCCCCAGCTGGACCAAGACTGCTGATGTGTGTGCGTGTGTGTGTGCATGTGTTCGTGTGTGTGCGTGCATGTGTGTGTGTGTGTGTGTGTGTGTGCAGAGCAGGGTTCAGAAGGATGCAGGGACGACCCCTTGCCTAGGTGTGGCTCTGGCTGTCACCGGGGCTGGGGCATGTGTCCGCCGTCTGCTTGCTCCTAAGCAAGCAGAGTGTGGCGACAGGACGCACACTTACACTCACACACACATTCATGCACACATACAGCCATACACAAGCACTCACACACACACACACACACCCGTGCACACATGCACACATATGCACATATACACTCTCACACCCATACTCACATTTACATGTACACACATTCACACACTCAAACACACATTACTGTACATATACAGCCATACAATACACATTCGCTCACAAACACACTCATATATTCACATACTCATGCACATGAACACATTCTTTTTTTGGGGGGGGGTCACACCCAGCGATGCTCAGGGGTTCCTCCTGGCTCAGGCACTCAGGAATTACTCCTGGCGGTGCTCAGGGGACCACATGGGATGCTGGGAATCGAACCCGGGTCGGCCGCGTGCAAGGCAAACGCCCTCCCCGCTGTGCTATAGATCTAGCCCCACCATGAACACATTCTTACACATTTTCTATTCATGGACACACACATGCACCCACGCACACATACCTATGCGACAAACTTATACACATTCATAGACACACTCACCCCCACCCCCACACTTACAGTCACACTCATACACAGTCATCAGTCACACACAGAGTCACATTCACACACACACACACACATCATACCCATGCACACAGACTCACATTCACCCCCTTGGGCAGGTACACACACACACACACACACACACACACACAGAGTGTCCTCCTCCCTCCAACCCCCCCCCCCCACACACACACACACACACGTCTACTCTGAGCCGATTCTAGCTCTGGGCTTTGGTTTTTGGTTTCCGGGCATGTGTCCTCCTGGGCTCTCACAGCGAGCACCCATGGCTCATCGGTGAGTGGGGCCATGTCTGGGCCTCTGCCCATCCCTCCCTATCTTCCCTCCTGCTTTGTTCATCCAGCCACTGCCAAGCTCTGGCTTGTGTCGGCATCCGGCCACGTGGCAGCCGCTCACTGGGAAACAGAGATAACGGCTGGTTCTGGCTCAGAAGCCTGGAACCTTCCAGAACAGCCTGTGGCCTGCAGCCGGGCTGCCTCACAGTGGGGTTCTCCCCGGCCAACTCCAAGGTCTAGGGACAAGCACCCATGGCCTCACGCAGGCCGCTCAGTCTCTCTCTCTGCTTCCTGCAGGGAAACCAGCAGCTGGGCCAGGGGCCACACGTCCTGCTTCGGATGACGGGGAGGTGGTCATGCAGACAGCATGTGATGGTCATGCAGACACAAGCACGCAGCACACGGGCACAAGCAAGCACACAGGCATACACAAAACACATCCTCACACGCACATGTGCCCGAGAGCACACGCTCCCTCACAGGCATGTACACGCATTCAACACGCGCTCACACACATGCAGACACACACACCCCACGCTGCGCTTACCCACGTAGCCTGGAGTGCCGCAGGCCGTGGACATGACGTCACCTTTGCCCTCCATCTTGGACAGGCCGAAGTCGCTGATCATGATCTTCGACTCCTCGTCCTGACTGTAGTACAGCAGGTTTTCGGGCTGCAGGGGAGGGGCGGGACTCAGCCGGGACCAGCGCACCCCCACGCTCCCGGGGCAGAGGCAGAGATGGCTGCGGCGGGGGGATGCGGGAAGGGGCACGCGGTTTCCCTGCGGCGCTGTCTCCCTCCCGGACCTGCTCCTGGGGTGAAGGTCACTGAGGGTCACTGAGTGTGGACGTCCCTGGAGTGTCACTGTGCTTGGCTTGGAACAGGACTGGCCCCAGGGGACTCCCCGTCCCTGCTGGGCTGGGTGCAGAGCCTGAAGGCCACCCCGTGTCCCTCTGGGGGCACCCCTGCTCTCCCGGGCCGTGTTGGGTCCTCATTTCTTTCCAGTTCCCCCGAAACAGGTGTGCGGGGCCGTGCCCAGGTGCCCGGGACCTGCAGGGTGCTGAAGGGCCGGTCAACCCCAATTCCTCTGGGGGACAAGCACAGAACCTGCCCTAGAGGGGGAACTCACCCCACCTGTGCTGGCCACCGCCTCCTCCCCTCCCTGTACCACCTACCGACTCCCTTATGTGCGGAGGCATGAGGGCTGAACAGGGCAGGACTGCGGGCTGGTGGGCACACACTGAGACTCTCATCCCTGCGCCCCAGAAGCCATGCCACACCCCTGCCCCGGGTTCTTCCACCATGGTGGGAGCCTGGACCCCCTCCCCTCGCCCGAACACTGCTGTGGATGAGACTCAAGTGGGTCCCCAGGCCGCATGCCATCACCTCATGGCCACTTGAGCCCCTCCCCCACACTCACCTTGAGGTCTCGATGCACGATGCCCATCCTGTGCAAGTAGTAGACGGCGTCCAGCACCTGGCGGATGAGCGTGCTGGCATCCTTCTCCGTGTAGAAGCCCTTCTCCACGATGCGGTCGAACAGCTCCCCGCCAGACACACTGCAAGAGAAAGAGCCCCATGGGCAGCTGCCGGCATCTGCCTCCTCCCCGGCTGTCCGCGCTGTCTCGACATGTGAGGCCACTTCTACATCCGATTTCCTCCCCCCCCCCCCCCCCCCCCGTTACTCAGGAGAAGCTTTGGGGTATGGTTTCCAGGCAGGGGACCTACGTTCCACTAAGCAAACAAGATCTGAACAATTCGGGGCTGCCAGATGGAGCACAGGAGTGGGGGAAGCCCCAGACCCAGGCCTCAGGCGTGAGCTGGCCCCAACAGCCCCCTTGTCCGGGAAGCCGTGATGTGCCCGGGGGTCACCCCTGGCACTGAAGGTCCCCGTGTGACATAAGCCCCGGAACCCGTGATTGGCTGTGCCAGTGCTGGTGCCCGCCTACTGAGTGCCTGGGGCCGTCCACAAGGCATGAGGCATTTCTAGGCTGTGGGCAAAAGACGTTCCTGCTCGAGTGACCGAGAGCCAAACGCCGCCAAGCCCCAGCGTGTGGCTGCTGCGTGGTCCCCAGTGACCGGCCGGCTCAGCTCACAGGTGCAGGGCGTGGCCTGCCCGCCAGGCCCAGGGTTTCTTGTTGCTGCTGTTCAGCGTCAAAATCTTTTCAGGGGCTGGAGTGATAGTACAGTGGGGAGGGCGTTTGCCTTGCACACGGCCAACCTGGCTTCGATTTCCAGCATCCTATAGGGAGGTAATTACGCCAGGAGTAATTCCTGAGTGCAGAGCCAAGGAGTAACCCCATAAGTGTGACCCAAAAAGAAACAAAACAAAACAAACCTTCCCAGCCTTCTTGACTTGAAAGGGGCTGAGAAAGTGCAGAAAGCACGGAGCTGTAGCCCTACTGTGAGAACGAACCTTCGTTTTGCTCCCCAGACCTGAGTAAAGAGTCTTTTTTCCCTTTCTTGGGTCACACTTGGGGATGTCCAGGGGTTCCTCCTGGCTCTGCACTCAGGAATCACTCCTGGCAATGCTCGGGGACCCTATGGGATGCCAGGGATCAAACCAGGTTGACTGCATGCAAGGCAAACGCCCTCCTGGCTGCATTATTGCTCTGGCCCTGGTAATGAGATATTTTTTACAAAATATGAAAGAGCACATGTTTGTGTTTGTTTGGGGCCACACCTGGCAATGCTCAGGGCTTCCTCCTGGCTCTGCACTCGGGGATCACTCTGGGCAATGCCTGGGGTGCTTGGGCGGTGCTTGGAGGGGGTGCCTGGGATCTAAGGCAGGTTGGCTGTGTGCAAGGCCAGCGTCACACCTGCTGTACCTCCTGCCCAGAGCACGTATTTGAGATAGACAGGACGCTCATGCCCAGATTCCTTTATGCCTCGGCTATCAGGCAGTGGGACTGGCCACGTCTACTGCTCACCCGGCGTCACTCAGTACTTAGACCTGTTCAATATGTCCACCCTGAGGCCCAGAGGCATGAAGGCCTGCCTGAGACCGTCTCACTCGGAGTTCTTCCTAAGGTCCCTGCAGAAGGAACTGGTACATTCCAGGAGACAAGACACACTGCATTGGCTTTGGAGAGCTTCCCAAGGGCATTGCCTGGGCTCTGATTCGACCCAAGGAGAGAGGGGAAAGATACAGCACCCCCGGCAGGCTGACCGAGCAGGAGCTGCCAAGGGCAGCCACGGAACAGAGCAGCCACGGAACAGAGCAGCCACAGAACCACGGAAAAACCCAGGAGTGGAATCCTGCTCAATGCCGCCAGGCCACCCCAAAGAAACACTTCCTGGAACTCTTCCTTTCTGCATTCCCCCAGCGGCTTCACTCTCCAGAAAAAGGCTGGAAAGGCTGTCATTTCCCGGTCACATCTCGGGAGGCCACTTGGGCTGGGTGCCAGGCTCTGGCTGGGACCACAGAGCTGTTTCCTTTGGCAGAGAGGAGAAGCCCCCTTGGGACTCACCGCGCGGTGGCAAGGCTGGGAGGTTAATAAGAGGTTGGGAAGGGGCTCGCCAGGAACGCCGGCACAGCCACGCCTGCTGACCACGCACCACCGCCCTATTTAACTAAAGGCTTTGCTTCTGCACGACGGCCAGGAGACAGTGCGAGGCCCTTTGCGGGCACCCGCCCGGGTGTGGATCAGCACCCAGGCGGCAGGAAGGCTCTTCAGAGCTTCCTCTGCTTCCAGGGACCCCGGGGGCCACGGGGCTGGGGACTGTGGAGACGAACCCAGAAGGACCCCTTTGGTCCTCATTGAGTTACATGTTCTCAGTCCCACGAGCAGCCTGCATCTTGGTTCCCAAGGCAAATGATTTGGTGGGACAGTGAGTGGCCTAGGGTCACAGATAAAGGCATCTTCCTTACAGGGGACACCAGCTGCCTGTTTATTTTAGGAGACTGTGGGGAGGGAGAGGGTTGGGCCACACTCAGCTTTGCTCAAGGCTTACTCCTGACTGTGCTCAGGGATCAATCCTGGAGGTGCTACGGGGCCCGTATGTGGTGTTGGGGATTGAGGCTGGGTTGGATGCAGGCAAGGCAGATGCACAAGGAGGCCTTGTGCTGTCTCTGTGGGCCCAGCTGGGTGTTGGAAGTACTTTCTGGACAGTCTTGCTACCCAGAGAGCACTGTAGTGGCAACTCCTCAGAGCATCTGAAAGGGCAAAGCCAAGGTCCTTCCCGATCTACTCTCCGGGGTGAGGAGGAGCCTCGGGAGATGGCATCTGCAGAAGTCTTGTCTCTCATAAGCTGCCCCTGTGAGTCTGAGGTCCCACTGCCGTTGGCATGTTCCTGCTCAGAAGCTCTCCTGGGGATGATTCTCAGCCACATGCTCTGGGGGACCCAAATCCAAAGGTTGAGACAAGGGCCAGAGTGATAGGACAGCAGGGAGGGTGTTAACCTTGCATTCGGCCAACCCAGGTTCAATCCCAGGCATCCCCTGCGGTCCCTCAAGCACCGCCAGGAGTCACTTTTGAGTGCAGAGTCAGGAGAAAGCTCTGAGCATCGCTGGGTGTGGCCCAAAAGCCAAAACCAACCAACCAAACAACTCCCTCCCCCCGCCCCCCCAAAAAACAACCACCAAACCCCTAAAGATTGAAATGGGCAACTGTTTTCTGGTCACTAAGACAGATTGGTTCTAGGGTAACCGCCCAAACCAACATGCTGGTTAGCTAAAAACCATTTGCCAAAGGAGGAAGGGCAAGACGGACAGAGCGAAAGCTGTGTCGGGGCCAGAGCTGATTCTTGAGGTGTGTCTACAGTCTGGAGTGTGAGCAAGGCTAACACACAGTGGCTGGGGCTCAGGCCTGCTTGCTCCCCGCTTCCACCTGGGGATGGCAGACACAGCCGTAAACTCCGGCCCCTGACGTCTTGGACCAGCCACAAAGTGTGGCTGTGAAGAGCATCACCGCCCGAATCCACAGGATGCACCCCAACACCTCCCAGATGGCGCATGGGAGACCACAGGGAGCACGTAGGGGCTGACTTCCCATCTTCCCCGGAAGAACGGGCCATGTTCCTAGAAGCAGGCGCCTGACCACGCAGCAGCAGGAAATCTGCACAGACCCATCATGGGCGGCGCTGGAATCAGCCCCCGGAACTTCCCAGCACAGAAGCATCCGGGGCCAGAATTGGTCTTCCTGCTGGGCACACCCCAACCATTTAGAGAAGACTCAGACGCCAATTCTCAAACGCTTCCAAAAAGAAGCAGGAGAGGGAATGAGTTAAACACTCATTCCACAAAGCCAGGACTGCCTGGATGCCCAGGTCAGACAAGGACACTCAGGGAATCCTCCACGTGTGTGTGCCTGGAGAATGTAGAACCCCCACACTCTGGGGACGTTGGCAAGGCTCGCTCACATGCCAGGATCATGTGCCACTGACCCCTGAGACACAGGATATCGGACACACACTAACAGATCCCCGCGGTGAAGAGACTCGGAGAGACCAGGAGCCCTTGCAGCCGACAAGGAGGCCTCTGGTGAACCAGCATCCCTCAGACGCACCAGGCGGCAGGTCAGCAGGGAGGGTGCTGGCCGTCCATGCATGTGGCTGACCCGGGTTCGATCCCCGGGACCCCACATGGTCCTCCGAGCACCACCAGGAGTGATTCCTGAGCCAAGAGCCAGGAGTAAGCCCTGAGCATGGCTGGGGGGACTCTAAAACCCTAACCAAACCACAAGAATGAAGACGAAAGTGAAAAATAACCCAACCAACCCCTCAGCAAACCAAACACAGGAAGGACTAGCCTCTGTGCCGCAGCGGCTGTATGTGCCAGCAGGAGCTGACACTCGCCCTCTACGGCGAGGAGGGGTGAGTGTGTCTGTCTCATCACTTCCCTTCAGTGCAGTACTTGAAGTCTTGGGAAAAAAAGAAATAAAAGACGAAGTAAAACTGTCTGCAGATGACATAGTCTTGTCTGTGGAAGTGTGAAGACGCCTCACAAAACAGTCTATTTGGTCAAGTTGTAGGGTTCTAAATCAATACGCAGAAACTAGCCGCATTCACGTCCACCAGCGATGGACTCTCCAAAACTACCCCCAAAAGCAAATTAGGAACGATCTGATTACAGCAGCCAGCACCAGGCTCAAGCACATAGGAACTGACCCAATGGAGGTGAGAAACGTGTACAGCGAAAACAACCCATGGCAATAAATCAAAAATCACGCTGAAGCAATGAGCCCAGTAGCCAGGAGAAGCTCCAGGTTCTTGAACTGGAAGTCAAAGGTGACTTCCATCATCTCCTTACATCTCTATCTTATGCAATCCCCTCAAGATTCCAACAGCGTGTAGCTTATTTTTTTTTTCAGAACCAGAGAGGGCAAAGTTCAAATTCATATGGAACCAACCAAGGCCTCCCAAATACCAAAAACAGCCCAAGAAAGAAAAGCAAAACTGTCAGCAACACAGAGTGAGATTTTCAAATAGGTAACGGAGCAGTCCAAAGAGGCAGCAGCACCGCAAGGGACACGGGCCGGTGGGATAGAACCGGGCGCAGAGATAACCCCGCGTGTAAGGTGAAGGCTAACATTTGACAACGGAGTCACAAATTCTCAAC